AAAAATGGAAACTCTTCCATACGAAGCCAGGGTAAATCTAGCCCTTGAAGCTATTCAAAGGGACCCGAAACTCAAGAACCGAGCGGTAGCAAAGATCTACAACATCAATAAGGATACCCTTCGGAACCGACGCGCCGGCCGGCCTGCACGACGCGATATATCAGCCAACTCACGCAAGCTTACGGATTTGGAAGAAAATACGATTGTTCAGTACATAATCGAGCTATCTGCACGCGCATTCCACCCTCGGCTTTGTTACGTGGAAGATATGGCTAACCGACTGTTACGCGAACGCGACACGCCCCCTGTCGGTAAGCTCTGGGCTCACAACTTCGTCAAACGCCAGCCAGAGCTTCAGACGCGTTTTACGCGTAAATACGACTACCAGAGGGCTAAATGCGAAGATCCGAAGGTTATTAGCGAGTGGTTTGCGCTTGTGTATAACATGAAGGCGAAATACGGCATCCTTGATGAAGATGTGTACAATTTCGACGAGACTGGCTTTATGATGGGTATTATCACACCTACGATGGTAGTTACTACCTCAGATGGCCGTGGTAAGGCTAAACAAGCCCAGCCTGGCAATCGAGAGTGGGCTACAGTCATCCAGGGGGTGAATTCTCAGGGCTGGGCCATTCCACCGTTTATCATCTTAGCCGCGCAATACCACCTTGCCAATTGGTATGAAGAATGCAACCTTCCGGCCACCTGGCGTATTGCAACAACCGACAATGGCTGGACTACGAATGAGAAAGGCATGGATTGGATTCGGCATTTCGATTTACACACATCGTCTCGTACAAAGGGTAAATATCGGCTTCTAATCCTTGACGGCCACGAGAGCCACCACTCCGATGAATTCGAGACCTACTGCCAGGCACATAGCATCATTACGCTCTGTATGCCTGCACACGCCTCACACCTACTTCAGCCTTTGGATGTTAGTTGTTTTGGGCCGTTAAAGAAGGCGTATGGCTGTGAAATTGAGAAGTTGATGCGGATGAACATCACACATATTAGCAAGTTGGAATTTCTCTGTTCGTTTAAAGAGGCTTTTTTTGCTTTAATTACAGAAAAAAACATCCAAGGGGGTTTTACCGGTGCCGGCCTTATACCGTACGATCCAGAGAGGGTAATATCTAAGCTGGATGTACGTATTCGAACCCCAACACCCCCAACCTCAGGCCTAGCCACACCACTACCTTGGGTCTCCCAAACGCCACATAACCCTCGAGAGGCCACCTCACAGTCAGTGTTTATCAAAAATCGAATTTCCAACCATCAGGGCAGCTCTCCAACCTCTATGCTAACAGCTGTGGATCGATTAGCCAAAGGTACAATGGCTGTGATGCACGAGGTGGCTCTTCTCCGTACGGAGGTCTCCGCACTACGAAAGGCCAATGAGGGGCTTAGTAAGCGACGGAGGGCCAAAAAAACACGTGTACGGCTTGGAGGGTCACTTACTGTACAGGAGGCACAGGATTTACTGGATCAGAGGGCTGTGGGTGAGCAGTTAGCTCAGGAAACACGCCAAAGTGGTGGTGGTGCAGGGGGGTCTCGTACGAAGATTCAGTGTTGTGGCGTGTGCGGCAAGCCTGGCCATAATGCGCGCACTTGCAAGGAGGCTGCAGAATCGTCTGATTCATCTGTTTCTAATTCGGTTATTGTTATTTCCTAGTGTTGTGGTTGTGTAATTGAGGATGGTTGTGGTAAGGTGGTGGGAAGTGGCTAACTCGCTTATATGGCTAACTCGCTTATAACGCACGTTAGCAAAAAAACACAGCACCATCATTTGCCGGAAGAGGCCATCGGTTCACCTAGGTACACGGACATGAGTAAGCGCAGTGACCTCAACACTTTCTAGGTTTTGGGGCCATGGCTCCATCAGGGACCCCGTTGATGGCTTCAATTTATGGGGCTCGTATTTGCGTGAAGATTTCTCAATCTGTGAGCTTCATCCTCGTTCAACTCTACCTCGTCAAGCCGCCGCAGGCTTCCTCGCATACACCCACAACAACGGCTCGGGCCACACCTCATCGGGCTTGCAAATGCCCACCTCGGGCGCTCTGACAGGATAGTATTTCACCTCTTCATGCTTCACCACCTCGAACCCCACCTTCTTGATCGTCTCAATCACCTCGTCGGGACTCAAACTCGACACATTGATCGGCCGGCCCATCCAGATGATATCCTCTTTCTCGCCTTCAATCGCAACAGTGGAAAAGACAAAGACACCACCAGGCTTCACAATTCGGTACATGTTCGCAATCCCCGCCCTGATGTCGTCCTTGGTGACATCTACGAGCAGACTGAACATCAACACGACGGCATCGAAGCTCGCGTCGGGCGGGTTGAACTCCAACGTGTTGATCTTCTGGAACCTGGCCCCAGGTACATTCTTCTGCGCCTCCTCGAGCATGCCTCCTGAGATGTCGGTTCCGAGAACATCGTGGCCGGCTTCGGCGAATGAACTGCAGACGGGCTTCCCGGGGCCGCAGCCGATGTCGACTACTTTGGCAGGCTTGAGGGGTTCGATCTCGGAGAGGACCCAGTTGATGGCGTCATATTGGCTTTGGAGGTCAGAGAAGGCGGCCTCGTACTTGGGTGCGAGGTCGTCGAAGATGGCTTCGACGTTGATAGGGGCCAAACCCATGGTGGCAAGCTGAGAGGTTGGCCAAGACAAACTGACTGTCAGCGTTATGTGCGAAGACAGTTGAGAGACGGAGCGTAAAGAAGACGGGAACCATATCTATGACTAGACAGAGCGTTATCTTTATCTACATGTCCATATATGTAGCTCCTTTTGATGCTCGTTTCGGCATGGGTTGTCTCGGATCGCCGGTTTCTCCCCCATTAGGCTAGGCGCAGGCGCGGATGTAGCTGTCAGGGCTCCTGTCACGTATCCGCAGTCATGAATCTTTTACCCCCCGCCAATTCTCTGCGGGGGGCCCTGTCTCCTGCCAATAGGAGCCGCAGGGCAAAGAACGCAGCACTGCAGAACAACACCACGGGTCCAACATCCGCATTGTTCGCTTTCGACGTTGTTGCTGACGTGATTGGAGAGAAGCAGCGGAAACAGGATACAGCTAGAGCGATAAGCAGCGCATGCAGCCTTCAACCCATGTCTGAGGGGATTTCGAAGCGGGGAAGACGACAATACTAACTCGATGCAATTCGGACGCAGAGAAACAAAGCAAACCTGATTCTATCTACACCAACCCCTTCTCCCAAAGTCTACCGCTCACGCCGCCGGCACAAAAACATCCAGCAAATCCACTGCGCCCGCCCCCTGCTGCGTCCCCCCTCCCGGCACGTAAATCTTCCCCTCAACAGGGACCGCATACGTCCCATGCCTCGGCACTTTCATCGGCCCCGACACCTCCCAAACATCCTTCACCGGATCATACACCTCCGTCTGATTAAACACCCCCTTACTCCCCTCCGCCGTATTCCCCTCCCCCCCAAATGTGTAGACCTTCCTGCCCAGCTTCGCCGCGGCCACGCCCCCCCTGGCTGTCGGCATCACCCCCTTCATCGTCCTCCAGCCCACATCCAATCTCCCCAAACTCAACGCAAACACGCTCCCCTTTACGTTCCCCTGCCCCTTCTCCCTGCCCCCGAGCACATACAACCGCATATCCACCACCGCCGCTCCGGCGTGATCCCTCCCCTCAGGCAACTTCTTCGCCGTCTCCGGAAGCGCAAGCCATTTCCCGCTCGCCGTGTCAAAGGCAGAAACTACATCCACCGTCTCCTGCTTTCCGCCTGCAAAGGGTTCCAACACGGACATGCCTCCGGCGAGGTAGATTTGCTTGTTGTAGACGCCCACCGCTGCGGAACCGCGGGCCTCGGAGGCGGGCATGGATTCTATCGCCGACCAGGCGTTCGCAGATGGGTCGTACACCCATGATTTGGGAGTAGCGCGCCAAGCGCCGTCGGAAGCGACTTCCAGACCGCCCAGGACGTAGATCTTGCCGTCGATGGTGGCTGCATTGAGGTGGTTCAGCGCGACGGGCAGGGGGGCGAGGGTTTTCCAGGTGTTGGAGGGGATGTCGTAGAGCTGGACGAGGTCGGTGGTGTTTGCGCCGCCGGTGGGGGTGGGGATGATGCCGCCGAGGATGGCGAAGGAGGTGGAGGAGAGGGCGACGGTGGAGTGTTCTTGGCGGGGGAAGAGCGGGATGGGGGCGAGGGTTGACCAGGTTCCCAGGGGGGGATTGGCTTGTCGGGGGAGGGAGAGGGAATGGACGGAGGGGAGAACGGAGAGGAGCAGGGGGAGCTTCATTTTCGTGGTGATGGTGACGGTGAGGTCACGTTGGTGGAGTGTGAACCTCGAGGTTTGGGATCGAATGATGGGTTGGGAGGGTCGAGATAAAGGTGAATGATGTCGATATATATTAATACTGGGCTTAAAGACGGCACGGGTACGGCTCCTCGGATTTGCGGGCCTTGGCATGGCGGAGGCCGAAGAAACGGATGAAGTCGGCCGGGCGTCGTCAGCGGCCAGCCAATCCCTGGCGCTGATTTCCGAAAATGTGGCCGTCTTTTCGTGCGTGTGCTCGTGGCTCAGCAGTCCAGCAACGAATACTAGTATGATGTGACAACCATCCTGCAGTTGAATCGCAAAGTCTGAGCAATTGGGGCTTGTCTGCTGCCCAGATCTGCCCCGATTTGGATCCACCGACGGACGGACGAATGCGGTGATTGGCGCGGTCCCGGCGGCTTAGACGAGATATTGAGGACAATAGGCAGATCTGTCTAAATGCGCATTACCAGGTACCAACCATCGCATCGCTTGCCCCTTGCAGGGCGAAGTCCGGAGCTCCACCTAATTCTTGAGAGAAGCGAAAAAAAAAAAGAGTCCGCGTAGCATTTACTGGGTGCGTATCAGGGCCTCTCACGTCAAGTGGTGGAGGATCACAACCCCCAGAGTCCATACCCCGGAACTGACGCGGCGCAAACGCTGTGGGCACCATTGTAGACGTCGGGCAAGCACCAATCAAGGTTTTAGAGTGTAGCGGTCAGCACATCCGATTCTGATAGAGCATTGACTCGAAATGCTTCATCATTCCGGTAACCCCGGTTCGATTCCGGGTACGACCTCATTTTGCCGCCAAGACATTTAGGCGGTGATGTCTCCTTTCGATCGTTGTGAATCCACAATGGCTCGTCTAAGTCGACGCTGGTGCACTTGGATTGACTTTTGGGTGGGTTGGTGACGGAGAGCGCAGTTGCTAAAATAGATCAACGGTGGACAAAGCTGAGACTAATACGTACCAGCGGACAGAGATGTGCTTCCAGCTGTCCCGCAAAGGCCCCCTAAAGAAAGCGGGAACGCCTAGCACAGCAGCCAAAAACTCCCACCAACATTTGGCCCGGACCGCAGCGCGTTCCACCTCACCAAGCCCGGCGGTGTGGTGATGTTAGCTTAGCGGTCGTAGTGGGAGCGGTGGTGGCAACGGTGTCGGTGTCAGGCGCTGCGATGGGCACGGGTGGCCTCGGCAGGCGGGAAAGGTGACAGAAAGCATAGGCACAAGGACTGCAAAAAGAAGAAAGAGGGGAGCACTGAGACGCGTTTCATCCCTTATCTTCCGAAAAAAAAAATGAAGGCTGTGGTTGTCCAGGAAGCCTCGCTGCCGGTCTTGTCGCCGAGGACGGCCCTCGCTGTTGATGTGTTCTCGAGCGTTCCTGATCGGATGTCTTCTAGGGCTTAGAAAGCTGGACCGTATGACACCCCTTTTGGAGATGATAGGTTGCATCACCTATCGATAACAGTTCCTTCCCATCAGGGGTTTGCCTTACTCCTGTCCGGCTTTCTGACCCGCATCCTGCTGTGTCTTGCTTTTGATACATATGCCGACAGCAATAGGTCACCAAGAGTCCCCGCTCCCACGCCCTCCTTTCCGTGGCAACCCCTTTACCTTAAGTCATGTGGCAGTGGAACCAGTTCAGCCGTCCACGAGAAAGATGGCAGAAGCTCTGGGACGGAGCTGAAAACTTGCCATTTCCCCAATGCGAAGAGGTGTTCGAATGTTCTTTTATGACGTTTGTCAGAAAAGCAAGAGCCTTTTTAGAAATGCAATGAAAGGCATAGGTAGGCTGATTCAGTCAATGGGCCCACTGCAGACACGACCAAGATGGTTTGATACTGTTAGGGACGAGAATGAGACATCTCAACACCGAGTACGAAAATGGGGAAGGTGTCAGGGGAGTAAACGCAATGATATCTATTACCTGCCTTACGATATAACCCCGCAAAGCGGAGTTTCAAGGCCGCACCGGGCAATTTGCCACCGTTACAACGCTTGACACTTCGAGCGCAACATCCTCGCATCGCACAAGACTAATTCGTCGTGATAATTCGGAGGTCACCGGATTGCAGGGCTTAGCGCAACCAATGATAGCGCTCACATGTCCCAAGTGCGCAGCGGCGTTTCACTCAGTGAGCATGTGAAGCCACAAACTCCGCTGATTGGGCGACGTGTCGGTAATGAGCTTGACCCGCAAGCGGTCTAGCCACCATGACGACGACATATAACGTTAAACTCACCGCAACACCCGCAACTCAAAGCGCACCGCATCTCGCACAACCCAGCGACAACTACGTTTGGGTCGGGCGCGATTGAAGCGAGATGCGCGTCCCCGTCCTCGTGTCGCTGGCGCTCGGCGCGCACGCCATCCGCGTCATCCAGTCCAACGATGACGGGTGGGCCGAGCTCTACGTCCGCTCCTTCCACGACGAGCTGCTCGCCTCGGGTCACGATGCCGTCCTCTCGGGCCCGGCTGAGAACCGCTCCGGAACTGGTACCGACCCTTTTCCCTCCCTTCAATTCCCTTCCCGAACTCTCACTAACAGCCCCCGCAGGTTCCACCGACGTCGAACCCTCCCCGCGCACCTCCCCCTGCCAATACAACTCCTGCTCCCCGGCCTCCTCGCCCACCCCCATCGGCACCAACTCTACTTCTCCCCGTCTAAACTGGGTCAACTCCTTCCCCGTCACCGCCATGCGCTACGGCATCTCCACCATCGGCCCGCAACTCTGGTCCGGCGCCGCCCCCGACCTCGCCGTCGCCGGTCCCAACGTCGGTTCCAACCTCTACCTCCAAGTTCACTTCTCCGGAACCGTCGGCGCAGCAGTTTACGCCGCGCGCCAGGCTCGCATCCCAGCGATCGCATTCTCCGGTGCGTCCTCAGGGACTCTGGCGTGGAACACTACCCCCGTGCCTACCCGCAGCACGGTGTATGCGCAGCTGGCGACAAAACTCGTCAACGAACTCACGGCTGGCGGAAAACCTTACCTCCCGAAGGATGTCTGGCTGAATGTGAACTTCCCCGAGATCAACAACAAGTGCAACGAAGTGGGTGACTTTAGGTGGGTCATGACGAGGATTAATGTGGGTGTATTTTCGCAGCCGGATGTGCAGATTTGCGGGAGGACGAGGTTGCCGACAGAGACGGAGGTGATTTGGTCGGATGGGTGCTATGTGAGCGTGAGCGTGGGGGATGCGGCGGATAAGTCGACGGCGGATGCGGCGAGGCAGGCGGTGGTGGCGGAGAAGTTGGATGGGTTGTTGGAATGTTTTCGGTAGGTAGATTGGGGGAAAATTTGGGATGGGATGAGATGAGTAGAGGTTGAGATGCGGATGCAAGGACGCGTTGGCGGAGTTCAGGGGTGTGCTTTGCGGTAGTTGAGGATGCGGTGTTGCTTTCAGGGGCAGTGCCCGAATCACATCGAGAATCGACAACAATGCTTCGGCAGCATCCGGTTCCCCGCAATGCAATGCCCCAAGACCATCTGCCGAGCGGAAACTTCTAGACGTCCTCCCACTATATCCCCGGATCCAAACGCGGACTCGCTTCCATCCCGCGCTGCGACCAGCTGACTTACACCCTTACTATTCGTCTTTAGTTTTGTTCGATCCATATTCTTCGCTCGATCTCGAAGTGGACACGTGTATTTTGACTCTGCGCAATAACCCCCAGATTAATGTCCCAGCGAGGTGAGCAAATCGGGGGATATGCCCTTCGGGCAATTAGGCTGTATGCCGCGTCGCATCAAGACAGCGGGACGGCTCTGCCGAATTGACGCCACATGTCAAACCCGCGGGAGAAAGAACGGCGACGACTTAAATACCCGTAGCTAGCCATCTGTTCCGCCCTCCGAAGCCCGCAACGTCATGTCCCCGAAGCCCTCGAGGTTGACCAACCCTCCTCCTGACACGAACCGATAAGCGACTCAACTTCGCGGCAAGGATGAAGACCGCTCTCGCCTTCCTTCCGTTCCTCGTCGCGCCCTCGCACGCGGGCATAAACTGGGATGTATACGAGTATGGCGTCATGAAATCATTCAAATGGATGCGCTCGTTCCCCGACGACGGCACCGACCCCGGCGGCTTCCACGTCCACTGCAAAGCAGCCGGCAACTTCAAAGCCAAGGTGTACCGCCTCAGCGACTTGCCCGCTGACCCTCCAACCGGCCTCGCCCCTTGGCATGACGCGATTGAAGACTTCCTTGGCAAAACCGAGTACCCGGGGAGCTGGGACGGGGTCGATCACAAGGGGCAAGATCGCGAGATTGTGGTTATGGAGTGGGTTGATGTTCCGGAACCGGTGAAGAATTGGATCGAGGAGCAACAGGCCGATGAGAGGCCCGAGAATAAGAAGAAGTGGTTGTTTGGCGTGTTTGAGAAGCCAAAGACGGAGGGGGAGAAGATTTACAGCACGGCCAAGCCGAGGCCGACAGGGATCGTTGGGGGGCAGGATGGGCAACAAGTTCCCGTAGTCGCCGACAAGGATAAGATTGTGGTGTTTCCTGGTGCTGCTGCATATGAAATTTTGCCCCTTTGGGTTTCCAAGGGAAGCAGTTGCGAGCGTGAGTTCCCTCGAACCGTGGGCGAGATGGCATTTTCTGACCAGTTGCAGGGGCGTTAAGCGATCTCACTAAGTACAAGCCGCAAGCCGAAGACGACGCTACTTTGGCGTGGGTTATGGATCACAACAAGCCGGACCGTGACCTCGGGAAGCGGGACATTCGATTTAGGGTTGAGGCTTTGTCGGTAACAGAGACGGAGGAGGGCAAAAAGACCCGGCTGATGTGGGAGAAGCTCCATCGGACGGTGAGGAGGAATGAGCGAAAGATTCAGAAGGAGGAGAGGATCAAGATTAGAGAAGAACTGAAGAGTGGGAGGATCAGAGACGAATTATGATGGAGGTAATCTAAGGAGGTATCAAGTCGGGAAAGCCCATATCTAACATCCATATCCTTGCAATGCAAAACAATGTAACCACCGGCGCCAGTAAATGCTTAATTTCCTCCCTTTTCTCCCGCGCTCTGTGTCGAGCTCTCCAACGCCCTCATGCGCTCCTCCCGCTCTTCGATCGTTAGCTCGCTCCCCGCCTTTGGAATACTGATCGTCATGAATATGAGAAAAGCGACGCCTGCGGCTGCTGTGGCGAACCAGAAGGCGACTTTGTGGCCCTCCCCGTCGGGGTGTCGTTTGAAGCCCTCCGAAACAGCCAGGTCAGCCATTCCGAGGAAGAAGCTGATTCCCAAAAACAACAGACTGTTGATCAGGCCGCCTGCCAGACCTTGCCTGTGCCTCGGGACATTGGTCGTGATGAAGATGTTGGATACCAGGTACGTAATATCCACGCCGATTGTACATCCGCACATGGCAGGGAAGACGTAGGGCCAGTAGCCCCCGTTCTCGGGGATGATAGCAAAGAGCAAGACGCTCAAAATGCTGCCGAGACCGGAGATGATGAGGAGCACGCGTCCCGGAAGAAGGTGAAGGGTGAATCCACCGGCTGTGGCCAAGATGATGCCTCCAGCAGCCATGGGGGAAAACCAGACAGCCGTCTTGAGAGCCGAAGCGTGCATGTATTGGGAGATGCTGGAAGGGGTTAGCCATCAGCTGACGAAAGACAGGGGAAGGAGAAACTCACTGAAGACTGGCATAAAACAAAAAGATGCCGAAAACGCCGTACGCAAAGAACAACGACACCGTCAACCGTCCCATGTACTTGGGCTGCCAGAGATCAAAGGGCAACAGCGGCTGTACCGCAACCCACCCTTCAATGTAAAACGCCACGCCCAAAAACA